GGGATAACGGATTACTCTTTCCTTTGTAAAACAAACACTGTTTTACAAAATAATATATTTTATATATTAGTTAACTTCCTTATAAATGATTGTCAAGGTTTTACCACATTTTCCCAACGTTTGACTCGGGATTACGCACTTTGAATGCTCATCATTCGAACCGATAGTCGACTGGTCTTGAAACGCGAGTGTCGCGCGTAAGTTCAACGTACAGAATGTTCGCTTTGACCTTCGTCAAAGGGTCTTAATCACAGCTTTACTTAGATTCACGCAAAATACAGTGCAGGTAGTAATTTTCCAAGCGTAGCTCAGGTGTGACACAAGGCTGAAAGTAGGGGACACCCAGTAAGGATCAAACTCACAACACAGTCGTAATTGTTCTAGCTAGATAATCTTGCTAACCATTACGCCACCTCGAAGTGTACAAATTAATTTTCCAAGCGTATCTTTGACATGGCATAAGGCCGAAAGTTGAGGTACCCAGTGAGGATCGACCTTACTATGCAGGCGTAATTGTTCTAGCGAGACAAGCTTGATCACCATTACACTACGACGGAGTGTACCAAATAATTTTCTAAGCGAAGCTTAGATGTGGCACAAGGCCGAAAGTATCTGGCACCTAGTGAGGATCGAACTTACTTTCCAGTCGTAACAGATCTAACGAGACAAGCTTGTTAACCATTACACCACGTCGGGGTGCTTAAATCCAATGAAGGGATATTGCTCGAATTTGTCAGTCATCCGAAAGATTACAGAGCCGTTCCGACACTGAAGTTACAAAAACTCACGTAGTAGCTGAACAAGGACCTACTGAAAGATTGATTTCGTAGGCTGGATACCAGTGAGTGTTAGATGTTCCCGGAATTCTTATAAACTGTACAGTCACAGACCATACATCCAGAAAATTGCCGATATCACCTCGTATTTTTACCCTCTCTTTTTCTTTCTTTCTTTTTCTCTCTCTCTCTCTCTCTCTTACTCTCTCTCTATCTCTCTCTCTCTCTCTCTCTCTCTCAGAAAACAACTTATCAAGATCACGCCTCGCTTTATTTAATTCCTTCTCACAGATTTGATATTCCGTTCGTTTGTAAGGGCACCTTCTCGTTTCATCTTACCAGTTTCCGCCAGAAAACAATTTCTGTTAATCTACGTGCCTCTCAAAACTCAATCTCAAATATCTCATTACTCATGCAATAGTCAATTACTTACTTTTTTAAATTTTTTATTCGTTTGCCTTACTAAAAAAAAATAAGTAAGCCAATACCATGGTATGCAAGGAAAGTCAAATGTCACAAGGCAACAAGATTTGTTCATTGAAGTTTTTAAAAATGACAGTTTTATTTTCTGGGTTATTTAATCTTCTATCCACAATTGGGCGTTTTTCACGGTTAATAAAACGCAATGTTAAAAGTGGATATTCTTGAATAAAATCGGCTCAGAGACGACCTGGAGTTGATAATACAACCATGCTGAGCAGACTTTGGTTACAGTTTCTGAGAGATAAAGCATAATCTGTTATGATCAGCATTTTGGACAAAGCCATTAAAACTCGGTCACGATGACTTGTAAATTCGTGCTAGCCCAACAACCGACGGCTTCCCAACAGTTCCACCAACCAAATTTCACTCACAATATGTGGGTCAACTCGTGGGATCAACCCGTGGGGCATGTTTTTCAAGCATTTCCCAAAGTTGTCGCACGCTGGGGTCGATTTCCTCAGACTGATATTATCGAGAATCGTTTTTTTGTTTTGTTTTGTTTCGTTTTTTTGTTTTTTTGACAAATCAACCATAGTCGAAAAAAAAAAAAAAAACGTTTTATTATAGTCGCCCATATAACAACAGAAAACAAAAAAAAATTAAATATCTTAACATTTTTACTGCTTTTCATCACAAATTGGAGGCTACATCACCGTTGTTCCATTCATCTTTACTTATCACAGTGGTTCACAAAAGGTACGCCTGGGTGCACTGATGCGCCCTGCAAGATGTCTAGGAGCGGTCTGGCATTCCAGAGAAATATTTGTCCAGATATAAGAAATAAATATATTTACTTTATTATATTACGGTGCCCGTCTTGTTCATATTTATGTGAATTAGGTTTTTCTTCTCTCACCACAATTAAGTGCAAAAAAGACAGGAACTCTTCAATGTACTGAGGAGAAAATGAGAGTTTGCCTATCAAATACGCCCAAACATTGAAGAAATCGCTAAGACTCATCAGGCTCATGTTTTTAATAAACACAAAAATGAGTAAAACTTAAAGTAGCTTTCATTTTATATATTTTTTTTTATTGCATTATTTATTTTCTGCAATATTTGACTTCATTATAACATATTTTTCTGAAATGTTTATATAGTACGCCTCCAATTATTGGTAGAATTTCAAGTGCGCCTCGTCTTCAAATAGTTTGAGAACCAATGGCTTATTATATAAGGATCAGTTTTCCCAGATTTTCTACAATTCAAGTTAGCTTTAATATTCTTTTTAATCATTTTACCCCAAGCAATGCAATAATCTCACGAAGACGCAAGGGGGTTAGTGAGAGTGAAATAGAATGGGAAGACTGGTGATGAAAAAGGACAATGAAATTACGGGTGTAAAAAAAAAAAAAGACAGAAAATTGCGACAATAGGAATAGGTGTCAAGGAAGTATGAAACCGGACACAGGCAATATTCGCTTTGGCTTGATTTGTTCTACTGCATATCAACACCTCAATGGGTTATTTAATGCCAACAAGATTTTTATTGCTGGTAATATTTTTTTTTCAAAATGTATTGCTGGTGGTTTTCTTTTCAAAAATGTATTGCTGGTAATAAAACCTATTTTTACATGTTTTGACCCCTTTAGAGGGATTAACTATTTGCCCATATTTGGGACTCTGACAGGTGCTGCCACCCCGGGTCAGGCTGGACCTGGGAACACCAGCAGTTAAGAGGTGGTTCCACGGTCTTCAAAACCTCCTGATCATAGGCCTTGCTGTCGGATGTAGTTTATCATCATACCCAGGATACGGATGTAGTTTATCATTATACCCAGGACGCGGATGTAGTTTATCGTCAGACCCAGGAAGCGGATGTAGTTTATCATCATACCCAGGAAGCGGATGTAGTTTATCGTCAGACCCAGGACGCGGATGTAGTTTATCGTCAGACCCAGGACGCGGATGTAGTTTATCGTCATACCCAGGAAGCGGGTGTAGTTTATCATCATACCCAGGACGCGGATGTAGTTTATCATTATACCCAGGACGCGGATGTAGTTTATCGCCATACCCAGGACACGGATGTAGTTTATCATCATACCCAGGACGTATTCGCTTTTGTTGATTTTGTTTAACGTATGTGTGTGTGTGCGTGTTCGTGTTCGTGTGTATATTCGTGTGTGTGTGCTTGCGTGCGTGCGTCTATGTGTGTGTGCGTGCGTACGTGTGTTCGGGTGTACATACGTGTGAGTGTGTGTTCCTGCGTGCAAGCGTGTGTGTATATTCATGTGTACGCACGTGTGTATGTGGGGGTGCTGGCGTGTGTGTGCCCGTACGTCTGTTTATGTGTCTGCAGGCAGGATCTCATCTAATGGCGTTCTTTAAACATATTTTATTAATGATAAGACTATTTTTTTCTTTTTATCAGGATTTTCTCCGAAATATTTTTTTCAGAGTTATCAAGATCTTGGTGAAGCCAGAAGGAAAAATACGAATGTAATCAGTAATTATATATATATATATATATATATATATATATATATATATATATATATATATATATATATATATATGCCAAATGTTTGACGTCACCCTCTGGTCTTCGTAGAATCACCTTAAAATTGAAGGTTTGGTGCCGTTTTCAAAACTAATTTACTCGCTGACTTCTGGCCAAAGTGACTTTATCTTCCTGAAGGGATTTTATCATAGATTATGTAATAATAATAATAATAATAATAATAATAATAATAACAGCAACATTAATCCATTAATGTAGAAACTTGCCTTAAAAGTTTCTCTTTTTGCCTAATCTATCTTGCTGACAAATGGTAATCTGTGGCCTAAGATTTTAAATTTTAGGTAAACCCATCTCTAAAATAATGGACACCATTTGACTAATAGGTTAAGTTGGAGTTAATTAAGCCAAAGAAAGCATGAAATTTACTAATTATTAACTCTAGAGGGTGACCCCAAATTTGGGGATATTATATATATATATATATATATATATATATATATATATATATATATATATATATATTGGCTCCTGAAATATCAATTTCAGTTGAGCTCTCTGGGGACAAGGTGTGGGTTGGTAAACAGTGACTATTATAGCTATATAGCGAGACTCTTCGCTGATGCGAATTGAGTCACTGTCGGTCACTGGGCGTGTTTCTAAAATAAATACGCTAAAAATCCACTTTCATCCCTACCGTGCGCCGACGGCTTAATGGTTAGAATTTCCGACTGACAATTCAGTCGGGTTTTGATCCTAGCTAGAGGCAACCGGATGTCTAGCCACACTGATGAGTTGTGAAACAGCGAAACAGTCTGTCTGTGGATGACGTTATATATATATATATATATATATATATATATATATATCAAGAACTAATGGATTTATTTTAATCCAACATTTTTATTACTTAAAATGTTATCTAAGTGGATAACCCTGTTTGAAATAGACGCTCTTTTTTCTTTTAAACATTATATATTACTTCTATCGGCCCCTGCTCACACGATTGATAGATTCGTTTTTTACGGCTTATCGACACTTTGCAGGTTTAAGTAACCAGAAAATAATTTTAGATTGTAAAAAAAAAAAATGCAATAATAATGGTCTGGTGATGCAAGTCTTACTAATTAACCCATAACTGGGGAGAGAAGAGGTGGACGTATAGCTTTCCCAAGGGTATTTGAGCTTAAGTGAATATAACGAACCCAACTGGAATGGAAAATTGGCTTCCCTATTAATAATTTCCAGACATTATCTATTCCATCACCCGCATATTCGCGCTTACAGCATTTGGTATTCCCAAGCGGTTACCCATCTAGGTACTGACCAAGGTCGACGCTGCTTAACTTATGTGATCATTCGGGGACAGGTGTTTCAATGTGATGTGGCTGTAAGCCTCCACGCGCTCGATAAAAACTTAATTGGGAAAATTTGCATTATCATTTCTTATTCATTCGGATTAAAAAATGTCTTGCCTTGTATCAGCTCTCAAAGGGCTGAGACAGAAAACTCTCCTCGCCATAGCTCTACCACCTCCAGGCTTCACCCTCGTAGGCAGATATTCTGGGTTGAATGTTTTATTGGACCTACGAGGACAACGTTGTGGAACATTGGGAAAAAAAGATCAAAACGTGACTAACTACTCCCGGGAAAACCCTCAAATCATTCCATATCAAGGTGACCACTGGGAAACTTGATTGATTTGGAAAGAAACCGCTTACATACGGACAAAAAATGAATTGAGTAAGTGCACACAACTAGAAAGGTTGCAAGACAAGGATGCACATTATTTACATTATTCGGACTATTGTCATCATCTTTGTCGCCATATTTATCACAACGTTTCGCCCGTTGTACGCTCCGGCCTTCTTCAGGCGGTTAGAATGTCGAACTGAACCCTTTATTTCGCTCACTGGGGTAAGCTGTTCTAGTTCCACGTGCCATGTTTAATGGCTGTCAGTTATTAGTTATCTCCTGTTAATTCGCCTCTCAAAGTTCTCCACTGCCTTAACCGGGTATTGAACTCACACTCTTTTGGGTCCTGTAGCTCAGAAATATAGACAGATACTGAAGACAAAGATGCATCTTCTCACCGGACTTATTTAACCTTGACAGCGACGTAATCCTAAGAGAACTAGAAGTCCTGTCATTAGCAGGGATAATCAATTAATGGCACAAGACTCTGTGTTTATAGCAGGCACAGAAAATTACGGGAAATTGTAAGCAATGTAATAAAGGAAAGAAGGAAGAAAGGACTATCAATTGCAAGAAGATATAACATATTGTGATTTTCTCTGCGTGGCTTAGATGTGGAACAAGGTCGAAAGTATGGGGTCCCCAGTGAGGATTGAACTCACTATTCAATGGTAATTGATCTAGCGAACAAGCTTGCTAACCATTACACCACGTCGAAAAGACCAAAATAAACCGCTAAGCAGAGCATAGATATGGAACAAGACCGACTGTCTGGGGTACCGAGAAGGGATCGAACTTACTATTCAGCCGTAATTCATCTAGCTAGACAAGCTTGCTGACCATTACAAAACGCCGAAGTGCCCCAAATGGCTAGAGTTTAGATATGGCACACGGTCGAAAGTGTGGCGCACCAAGTGAGATTCGAATATATTATTCAGTCGTAATTGATCTCGCTTGCTAGCCATTACACCACATCGAAGTGTCCAAATGATTTTCTAAACGGAGTTTAGATTTGACACAAGGCCAAATATTTGGGGTACCTAGAGAGGATGGAACTTACTATTCAGTGATAATTGATCTAGAGCTACAAGTTTTGTAAACATTACACCACGTCGATGTGCACAGGATTGAATGTATTTCAGGTGAAAGAAACTAAAATTCGTAACTATTCAATACGTCTATCAATCCCATGAATATTTTCCACGATTCGTTCGGATTAATATCTTTAACCTAATCAGATTTGTAGTTATGTTTTGGTCGATGCTGCAATTCGTTAGATACAACGAAAAGAGTATAAATAAATATAAAAGGCATCATCAAGCTGATTTTAATTTTTGTAAACCGATTTGATGTAAATCTAAAAAAAAAAAGTAAAGATGTCATCGTTTTTCCTGAGTATTTTTCAACAATAATGAGTTCATCGCCATTTAAGGCAGGTCACAAATATCTTAGTAGATATCATTATATAATAGCACCAGTCCATATATGACAGTAATATTCAATGCAAGGACAGATGGTTGATTTATAGATTTGAAGGATGGACTCAGACGAGAAAAACTTTCTGACACGACAAAGAGAGCCAACTTTCCTTGCGGTAGATGAAGCTATTGATTTAATGTATTTATTCCATCTCATGTTAATGATAATATTAGCCTTTTCGATATTTATTAAGTGAGCAGCCATTACCGCTGTTGGTTGAAATTTATAAGCAAAGCCGATTCTAAGATGAACAACAAGGCGAGAAGACAGAAAGTTTTAAATTACTGTTCTAAAACATTGAAAAAATACTAAGAAAAATTAGTGCTACTATAGAATAATATCTACTAAGACATTTGTGACCCACATTAAATGTCGATGCATGGAAAATACTCAGGAAAAACGATGACATCTTTATTGTTTTAGAGTGCTCATCGACATTTCCTTCTGTGTGAAATGAGTCCTATGTTGGATCTGAAGCGACGTCCACAGTCACTGGATGGCAGGGTAGAAAGGTTCAAGGGATGGAGCCACCTGGCTTTTTTTTTGGGGGGAGGGTCTCTTCGCCTCTTCTATTTGACTTCTGGCGTTTTCGAACGATGTTATTTTTTCGTGGATGTCTCTTCTCGAATTGGTGCGTGATGCCATTGGTTCCCGAAAACATGGAATTGGTAGAAGAATTTAGGCTTTAGTTCCGTGATAATTTTTTTAATACTTTTAGATTAAAAAAAAAATAGTCCAGTGTATGAAACGAAGGAAATGATTGCAAAGATATCGGCTTTCCGGAAATATTCCTCAGGAAATTCCTTTTCGAAACGTTTTAAAAGGAGGCAGTTCGCTGTCAAGTAATCCTCTCTCTCTCTATCTCTCTCTCTCTCTCTCTCTCTCTCTCTCTTATATCGAAATAATTTCTGCCTCTTGGAGAGGAAGATATCTTCAAGCGCCTTATTTTCTTCCCTGTCATTTTCGAACCTTTTAAAAGAAGGCAGTTTGCTGTCAAAAGTTATCTCCTCTCTCTCTCTCTCTCTCTATCTATCTATCTATCTATCTATCTATCTATCTATCTATCTATCTATCTCATGTACCGAAGTAATTTCTGCCTCTTGGAGAGGAAGATATCTTCAAGCGCCTTATTTTCTTCCTGTCATTTTCGGAACTTTTAAAAGAAGGCAGTTTGCTGTCAAAAGTTATCTCCTCTCTCTCTCTCTCTCTCTCTCTCTCTCTATCTATCTATCTATCTATCTATCTATCATCTATCTCATGAAGTAATTTCTGCCTCTTGAGAGGAAGATATCTTCAAGCGCCTTATTTTCTTCCTGTCATTTTCGGAACTTTTAAAAGAAGGCAGTTTGCTGTCAAAAGTTATCTCTCTCTCTCTCTCTCTCTCTCTCTCTATCTATCTATCTATCTATCTATCTATCTATCTATCTATCTCATGTACCGAAGTAATTTCTGCCTCTTGGAGAGGAAGATATTTTCAAGCGCCTTATTTTCTTCCTGTCATTTGAGTGCAAAATGGCAGGGGAAGAAAATCAGAAATTTTGTTTAGCTTTCAAAAAAATATTATCACTTGCTTTGCTTGACAGCACTTTTCTCGTTCGTCTTTGAGAGATTCCCGTTTTGTCTTGTAAACAATCAGAAAGATTTTATTAAAATTTGTTCTGTCGGTAATACTGCGTCCCTAGCAACGGGATATGACCCTTCCCCCACACACACACACCACCACCACCACCACTCAGCCCAAAGGAAACATCTTCCGGGTGGATACTTATATATTCTAGTATAAACCCGATCAATGTCTACCTATCTAAATCAATTAGACTTACGTCTATCTTTTTTTTTTATTTTGGTGCAAACACACATGTCGATAAATTCATTATTAGTCAGAAGGAGGACCTTCTGTAATTGAAACCAGTTAATTGGGATTTTTTTTTTCCATTTTGCCATCCTTTTATCCGCCATTATATATTATATGAAATGGTTTAAATCCGAAAAATATCAATTATCGTATGCTGTTACACGATATGGACAATTTTGATGTTACACCCGGTATGTCTGTGCGTGTGTCTGTGTCTGTGTGTGTTTGTGTGTGTCTGTGTGGGTGTCGAAAGTGTTTAAGTTAGATAAAAAATTGAAAGCTTTTCTCTGCGATAAACATTGCTATGTCTTGTAAATACGCTTGGAAAAAATGACTGTTTTTTCAAGTCAGTCAGTGCTTGGAAAGTTGGAACGTAGATTAATAAAGACAATCCCAAAATTAGAATTTGACCTCTGCATGTTATGAGGACGTCGGGAAGTCAGTAGATGATTTGAAAGCGGGCGTGATGGGTAGATGGATGCAAGGTAAAAAAAAAAAAAAAAAAAGACAAGGGCAAAGTTGGATGGTGGTAATATCAGTAATATCCCATCGTTGTGGGGGATTCGGGTTGGAAGAGTAATGGCGGATAAGCAGGGGCCGAGATAAGGTTTTATTTATATTTCATTTATTATCTGCTAAAGAGAATTGGATAAAGTGCGCCTGTTGGAAAGCGATGGCTAGGAGGCGCGTCTCGTGAGCCAGTTCGGTAGGGTAAAGGAGGGTCTGGAGAATCAGATGCTCACAGGTTGAATACAGGGAAAGAGAGACAAGGAAAGCAACGCATGGTATACCTGGAGCGCTTAAGCAAGTGGATGACAGAATGTGGCAGAGGGACAACACTTATTGAGAGCTACAAGAGATAGGAGGAAAGTGGAGAGCCATGATCGCCTACGACCCAAAAGGACACGGCACATAAAAGAAGTAGCATTTAATCTCTTTTATCTGAAATTTCTGGGACACGCAATGAGAAAGGAGGGCTTGGAGAATCTTATACTCACAGGGCGGATAGAGGGAAACAGAGACAAGAGAAAGCAACGCATGACATACCTGGCGGACTTAAGCAAGTGGATGACAGAACGTGGTCTGGGGGGTGGCAGAGGGACAACACTTATTGAGAGCTACAAGGGATAGGAGGAAGTGGAGAGCCATGATCGCCTACGACCTGAAAGGACACGGCACATAAAAAGAAAGAAGAATGAGTTTGAGCATCTCTGTTGGCTCTTCTTCACTGGCCTTGTGTCAGACTTAGCCATAATTAATAGATACTATATAAGTGCGCTTCAAAAACTCTAGAATGACCAGAGCCTGGCAGTTGATCTCTCCTGTGGCTTAGCCTTAAAAGCTCAGTGGTGATGCGGTGGG